TCTCTTGAGAAATTGGAAAATCATCTTCGTTTAAAAGAAGAATATAGAAAGTAAGATGTTAAAAAGGAAGTCAATACTTAAGAGAATGTACATGTAGTGAAGGAAAGACAGTCCAATAAGACCTTAAAGAAAAGAGGAAAAGATAAAGACAAGCCTTAAGCACAGGATGGTCACAAGAATAAGAAAATGGTCACAAGAACAAGAAAAGAAAGGTAATTGCTTTTTTTTATAGAAAAAGTGGTCATTTCAAGAAAAAATGTCGTTTCTTCAAAAGAGAAAGGAAAAAGAAAACAAGTCATCTATAAAAAAAAATTTTGTGACAATAAATCAATAATTTCTAAGATCCACTTGGTTGATACTAATAAATCATGATGGGTGGATTCTAGTGCCACACATTATATGTGCAAGAACAAAAACTTCTTCAAAACATTGACGGAAGAAGATGGCCGGAGATGTACTTCATACGAGAAATGCTTCAAGTGTCCAAGTGAAGGGCATTGAACCAGAGGGAGTAATTCTTAAACAATTTAAACAAGATCAGTAGGAAATCTACTATAAGATTTAATTAATAAGAATTACTTCCGTATCAATAGTAATCATTGCGAGTGCATTTTTTAAGTTGATGTTAAACTCTTCATAAATTTTGAGCAGCCGAAATATGTACGTATAATAGTACTATATAATTTTGAGAAATTAAAATTCTCGTGGGGTGGTGCCCTTAAAATTACTGGAAAATGGAAATAGGATTTTATTACAGAAACTCCAAAAGATATATATAATATATATATATATATTTATATATCTGTACGATCATTCTCTAGCTGATGAATATAGATAGCTCATGGGTTTCCATCTGATCTCTGTTGTTGTAATTGTATGCTGGCCTGAACAATCTCATCATCATGTTCTTTCGGTGAAGAAGATGAAGTACTCTTTTTGCCACCGCAGCAATCTTTTCTGCCATATATACAACCCAATGGTATTACCAGTACGAAAAGCAAGAAGATAAACAAGGCGCCTATTACCATCAAAGCCATTCTAAATCGGGCCATTCCTACTTTTCCATGTTCCTCTCCTCCTTGCTGTAACCTATTCACAACTTCGTATATAACCATCACCATAACCCAGACGCCCAGGTACACAGAAGTCACAGCACACAGGAACTTTGTTACGACCACCATCACTCTACTGACTTTATTATTACGACGTCGGAGACTTTGAGGTTGTTGTTGTTGCTGTTGTTGATAACGATGATCAGCTTCGATTGGTGTTACGGGTACAATCTGCGATGAAACGTTCCAACATTCGGAGATCTTGTTTTTACCTCGGACTGCAAATCGTATGGTGTAGACGAGAGAAATAAAGGCCAAGTGTAATAACCAAGCAGTAAAAATTGTCAACCACACTGATTCAAGAACGCCGTACACCTGGGGAAAGAAACAAATCGTTGCGATTGCTAGATATATCATCGCTATGAAGAAGAAACAGAACAAAGCCGAAAGCAAGAAGAGACACAGTGCAGTGATGACGGCTTTTACTTTTTCAATCTGCATTTTTTTGGCTTGTCAACCACAATTAATAATGTTGTTATGAAGCTATGCAATTGCCTATATACATTCCCAGCTTCAATTAATCGTCAACTATATGTATATATGTCGCAAATTATGCAGTTACTTAAATAAGGACTAAGGAGGCAATAATTATAATATATTACCTCCGGTTTTTAATATAAGAATTCGTTTAATTTTTGTTTTGGTCCTAGATATAAGACTCCAATTCATTTTGTCTTTTATGTTTATATATTTTTTAAAGATAGTTCTTGTAATAATATTAATTCTAGCCAATACATTTGATCAATAAAGATATTTTAGAAAAAACAACACCTATTTATTACGAATAACTAATTTAACTAGCTTTCTTAATCTACTCAAATTAATCAACTAACTTTTATATCAAGAGCTGAAGGTAATATTATCGTTGTTATCACTCGTTACGTTGCCGCCTAGGTCTCCTTTTGATGATTCTATCTTTGTGTTGGAGTATACTTCAGATTTATAATTGAAAAAAAAAAATTACATATCCTTCCAGTCTTGATAGGCATTTATATTGGAAACTATACCCATTTGATAGAAAACTCTTTTAATTAGTACCTTAATATATGCAATTAATAAGGAGAGTTTATACATTTAGGAGACAAAGTAGATTTTAATTAAGTTTTTATATTTAAAATCAAAGCAAATTATTCTAAAAACTCTCGCGTACATTAAGGACGGAGAAGGAGTAATGTTGTGAATGATGTGTGTTTGTGTGTTTATCCATTGTTTTTCTTCCTTCCTTTTGTGATTGTGATTATATACGCACAGATGGCGCGGAACATCGATCTGGTTCGATATATACACTCCTTCATAAGTAGGAATCTTGAAGAGTTCTGAATTTTTCTGGTGAAGAAAGGACGAGCCTAATTTATAAATATAAAAATAGGAGTCTTGCCCTTGAAATAAACGGAACTTAATACTTTGATCATCGATCTATTTGGCCTAAGACAAAAACTACCTCGTCAGTATCTTGTGCTCCTGTACAAAGTTGAAATAGTTTCTGTAAAACCCAAGTCGTCCCACATAGGATGCTTTATGTAGAAATTAAATCGAAAACGGAACAAGTAATCCACATGTAACATAGTAACATACACAGAGACAGAGAAATAATGAACTCAGCTAATGGATCATATTTCTATACACACACACACACACACACACACACACACATATATTGTCCTGATGACCTATTCACACACACACACACACAAACTATGATTATGGTAAAATACATTAAAGATTCCAACCCCCCCCCCCCAAATTTTAATTACGTGCATATGTTTAAACAAATTTGTCTGTTCCTGCATTTAATACATAGGCAAATTAAACTTGCTAGTCTAATGATGTTGATTAGTGATCTATTGGAATGCTTTATATATACATACAAATTAAGATGAGCAGTGGAGGACAATATATATATAAGTTGATAGAATCTCTCAAAATTAAATATCTTGGCATTCTCACATCAATTTACGTACGTACGTACCGCACACCGCAAAACAATATTCTTAATTAATGTTGTTGTTGGATCATTATAGGAGGTTGCTGATGATCATGTTCCACAGAAGAAGAAGTTGGAGCAGGTGCAACCTTGGTGCCACTATTGATGATAGAATTAATAGCACTACCAGAGAACACGGCGGTGAAGACGAAAGCGACGGCGAAGACCGAGAAGAAAGCAATTCCAAATCGATCCCAATTAGGGACTTGTTGGTCGTCGTCGTCGTCACTCATTTTGTTCTCTTCACCTACCAATTCCACAACCAAATGAGTCACCAACATGAAGCACGAACAAGCCATTACTGAACTCAAAATGAACAGTAATGAAAGGATCGCCAATTTTCCCTTCCCATTCACAGCCATCTTATTGATTTTCTTGTTCTATACGTCCAAAAGTTTTTATATATGAAGCTGTTATCACTGAAAATGGCCAAGCTAAGTATTGTCCCTTTATTATTTGCTCTATCTTACCATCTTTTGGCAGGACAGAAAGGGGTAGAGAAGGCCAACACCAATACATATACAGATAAATCAAAACTTAACTTTTTTTTTACCGGGGTTTTTTATAATATTCTGCTTCTTTCTAAAAGGATGATCATCTGAAACAGTTTTTTAGCAATATACAAAATGAGGTTATGAACCGTATATAACTTGCTACAGATATTATATAATTAGCTAGAGGTCATGGAGCTTCTTATTTTTAATTTAATAATGACGCATATTTTTTAGCAATTACTCAGGGACAACACTATTCCGAAGGTGGCTAATCAAATTTTGAAGAGTTAAGAATGATAAATTATTATGAAAAGAGGAATTTTCCCTTGGCTTTATATCCTACGAATTGAAGCTGGGTTCAATTATTCGAGACGACTTGCGCGGCGAGCCTCTTCATCATAAGCAGACCTCTAAGGGTTTGTTTGGATTGACTTACGAATAACTTTTTAAAAATAATTTACGGAATACGAGATAAATATGTGAGAAGAGTTTTGTCTCGACTTATATAAATTTGTTTAGAAGTCAGTTTCCAACAGAGCTCCAAACAAGCCCTAAGTAGATAATAACGCGAAGTCTCGTCCAATCTCATTTGCAGAGACCTCCACTTTATTCGAAATTCTCATACTTCGCATAGTTTAAGCATATGTAAATGCCTTAGTGGCCCCACATGTTATAAGTTTTATAGGAGTTTATATTTAATTGACCATACATGTTTTTTTTTTTTTAAAGGAAGGAAAGGAGAAGAAAAATTTTAACGAAGTCTGTTTGAAAAATTAAAGAAGTAAGATTCAAAATTTCTAATTAATTTTGCCTACTTTTTTTATCTTACATCTTTCTACCAAAATTTTACAATCTTATTTTTTTAAGTTTTTAAGTTAAACTCGTTGAAATTTTTTCTTTCTTTCTCTTCAATTTCCTCATACCAAACATAGGTAAGTCAATTGCATAAAACCCCGAGATTTAAAATATTAAATTTAAATTTTGAAATATCAAGAGGTCATATACAACATGTCTAAAATTTAAAGGATTTTTATAAAATTAACAACTTACATCTTTATAAAATTACATAAAATGCCATACTGTCAAGTGTTAGGAGTTAAATTTCCATTAAAAAATGTCGCAACTTACAAACAAAAGTTTTCTGGTAAAATCATGAAGAGTTAAGGTTAAATTTAAACTTGAAAATATCATATAAGTTATGTGTAGAGAACCCAAAATTCAGAAGGATTTTGCATAATTTTTTTTTTTAAAAAATGAAGAAATATTGAAAGAGGCCGAGCAAATTACAAATAGTCAAATACAAATTTATTTAGGAAAAAAAAGAAAAGAAAAGCTAGGAAAAGACCGTGACAAACATGAAACAAGTACAAATTTACCAAAAATGGGTTTTTTTTTCAGTGAAGATAATTTTATTCATAAGATCAGATAATTACAAGAAGTCAAGATAATTACAAATTTACAAAAAATGGGTTTAAGCACACACATCCCTATCCTTTTCCAAAGGACGAGAATTTGAGGCTTTGCCTATGGAAGTTGAGGTGAAGCTCCGTCTCCCAGACTCAGCTTCTCACCAGAAACTCTCCGATCTACTCGCACCATTTCACATCAACACCTTAATTCAAGAAAACATCTTCTTCGACGGCGCGAAGGCTCAGCTCACTTCCAATCTCGCCGTCCTCCGAATCCGTTTCTACAATCTCGATACCTGCGTCCTCTCTCTCAAAGCCAAGCCCGTAATTTCCGACGGAATCAGCCGCATCGAGGAGCACGAAGAGCCATTCGACACCGCGCTCGGTCGCGCCTGCGTCGCTGAGCCATGGAGGCTCGCGAGAATCAAGTCGTCGGAGATACTGAAGAGAGTAAGGGATGAGTATGGGATCGGGGAAGAAGGTGATTTTGTGTGCTTAGGTGGATTTAGGAATGTGAGAGGTGTGTATGAGTGGAATGGATTGAAATTAGAGATCGACGAGACTAATTATGATTTTGGGACGAGCTATGAGATAGAATGTGAGAGTTCTGAACCAGAAAGAGCCAAGAAGCTGCTTGAGGAATTCCTCCATGAAAATGGTATCAATTTCTCCTACTCTCAACTTTCTAAGTTCGCCGTTTTCCAGTCCAGGAAGTTGCCCGACCCAGAGAAGTAAGTCTCATCACTGGGCAAACACCAAGTAGTGCTTTCTTTTTTCCTTTTTTTTTTCTTTTTCTTTTTTGGGGATAATCAGGAGTTTTTTTTTTTTAATATACCTGGGGGATATTTTAGAGTGGTATTGCTGATATATATTTGTGGTTTCATGAGTCCATATATCAATACTTAATATAAAAACTAATTTAACTTTTAATTTGATGATCTCAATATATTTTGTCTCTCGTATTATTCATTTTTTTAATATAGCTCTCGTAATAGTTATACGTGTTAAATATTTTATCAGATAATACTGGATTAGTAAGAATGTTTTAGAAAACTGCACCTATTTATTACAAATAACTAATTTAACTAATTTTCTTAATCTACTCAAATTAGTTAACTAGTTCTTATATTAAGTATAAGAGCTAAAAATATTTAATTTTGAGGAATTATTCGTTGATAATCCAGCATACATACGAGCTGATTTTAAATTCTTGTACAAAGTCCTCAAAAGTCTCAGTCCGAAAAAAAAGGTCCTCAAAAGTCAAAAGTAAAAAAATTGGAACAGCAAAAAAAATATATTTGGTCTTTTAGAGTTTGAGGTTTGCTATTATGATTTTGATTTTTTAAGTTTCAAACTATCACTTTTAATTCCTAAAAAAGAAAAATTGTCTAATTTTTTTAGTAAATTATAGTGATCACATTATTTTAAATGGAAAAAAAATTAAAGGATGAAGATTATAATTTAAAACTTGAAAAATAAAAATAAAAAAAAAAATTTAAATGACCAAAACTTATGTTAATCTAAATAAATAAAAAGAAGGGCACCAATTTTATACAGAGAGGGGCCGTTTCCCTTCTACCAGCATCATCTCACTCTTGATAGCCAGGTCGCGGGGACTATTTATTTGAATAAATAAATAAATAAACACCCTGTGTTCTAGGTTCCATAATCAATGATTACTCAAAACTAAAAATACATACATATAAATATAAGCCATAGATTTCATATATGCTTATTTGTTTCTTATCATTATCAATATGACATAGCAAGTTCTCAGAAAAAAATGATTCGAGGACAAGAAAGATAGAGGGAAATGATCAATGAAAACCTTGAAAAAATATTTGAAAGAGGGAGAAAAACTTCGAGACCTGCAGGGAAAGAAGCTTCTAAGTAAGGACATAGTGGGAGGAGTGATCAAGATACAACAAATTTTCTTTTAATACATACATAAAACAATTTTTCCTTTTAGTTGCCCAGAGTATCTTTCTATTATTAGGCGCAGCAACGAGGAACCCTCTTACTAGTATTTTTTTTTTTCCATACACACCACTTCAAAAACCGAATCAGGATATGATATTTAAGATATCCAAGTCCTTTTCATTTGGATAACACTTGTTGGTAAAATAGAACAAATTGAATTGCACCATATCTCATAAACAAGAATTCTGGGCCTACTAACGGGGGTTGGGTCTAGAAGAGAAGTGCCCATATTAGTGCCCAACAGTTCTTCGAATATGATTGCTTCCAATAAGAGGATACTTATACTTTAGAGAAAAAAAAAAAGAATTCTGGGCCTCCTTTATCCAAAAAAAAGGTTCTGGGCCTCTGGGTTGGTTTATGCATTATCGCGGCCTGGGTCAGACGCCCCGCATAACCACGCTTATAAAGCCGAATCCTCAAACCCCAGTCGCTAGGGCTTTCATTTTGGAACGAGGAGCCGTCAGTGCTGCTGCAACGCTTGGCGACACACTTAGCGATGGGTAATCTAATCCCTCCACCCTCCTTCCGAATCGTGGATTCTCACCAGGTCGTATTTCTTATTCTGTAATGTGGTTTTTTGTCTGATTCAAAAATTATATGCTCCAGCGAGGATCAAGGTTCATGAGCTCAGGCAGAAAACGAGGGCCGAATTGCAGAACCAGCTTAAGGACCTGAAAGCTGAGCTTGCTTTGCTCCGTGTCGCTAAAGTCACTGGTGGTGCTCCCAACAAGCTCTCCAAGATGTAATCCTTTCGTCTCTTCCTTTCTGATTTCATTGGTTTTACAACCTTGCTCTAGTCGTAGTGTATTTCACACATGTTTAATCCTCGAATCAGACATCACATTGCATTTCAAATTACATTGAAACAATATGTATTTTGTCCTATTGTAACTAGTTCTGTGTTTCAAAGGCTTTACTTCATTGCCGTAAGGTATTTGTGTTTGAAATTCTCAATCTTGGGTTGCGGCAAGGTGGAGAGATTGCCCACTGAAATATTATGGATTTTTCGTATTCATTTTACTCTATAATTTGTGTTCGCAAAATGGGGCCTACGTAATTTAGACAGCTGCTGGCAGCTGGTTTAGTATCCCTACATGGTATCACATATCATATGAGGCTGAAACAATAACAATTTGATTGACATTGTATTTTGGATTTGTTTCGTATGTTTGATCCGCTTTAAGTTTTGGTCTTTAAGATTCTTATGTTACGATATGCAGAAAGGTAGTGAGGTTGTCCATTGCCCAAGTGTTGACGGTGATTTCTCAGACGCAGAAGGCTGCACTGAGGGAAGCCTATAAAAACAAGAAGTACATGCCTCTTGATCTGCGCCCAAAGAAGACCAGGGCTATTCGCAGACGGCTTACCAAGCACCAGGTAATAACTTTTCTTGGTGGCCTTGACTCATAATATTCGTCGTGTTATTATCTTTTTTTTTTTTTTTAAATAACAGGTTTCCAGCATCATTATAGATGTATTAGTTTTATGAATAAGA